ATAGCTTCACAACAAAAAAAATAAAACAAAAGCTTCATGAGGCTAATCTTGGTAAAACAAAAAAATTGACCCTTCCTGCATCAATGTTTAGAGTGACACTGTGTCTTGCCTAATAATTTGGAGACTAAGTTTTTTGATCAATGAATAGTAATTTCGTAATTACATTCTACTTACAAAAGATCAAACGTTACCATCTTCATTTGTTTTTTGTTTTACAGCATTGATAAATTTCTATCATTATCTACTTATTTTACTACTTTTACTTACATTTATTAATGAGTTTTACTTATCTTGATTTTTGTTATATATATATATATATATATATATATATTTTAAAAAATTAAAATCTTTGGACACACTGGGTTGTAGATTAATATTCTTTCGTTTTTTTTATTATTATTCCATTTAGATTCCTCGACTAGTTTCGACCAAAATGGCCATCATCGGGAGGAGAAATATTTCTGCTTGCTGGTAGCAGTGAACCACAGAAATGAATGTCTTTTGTTGGAGAAAATGAACTTTTGTCTGTAGTTTTCATTTGTTTTTATTTTTTTATCTTTTTAACGTGAATCTTTTAACAATTCTTGTGTTGGTCAAACAGTCTCTTTTAAGTTGTTATTTGAGATAAGAGCTGGATAGATTAATGCTGCTCTGAATTCCCTGGTCAGTTTGACAGTTTTATTGGACCTGGTGAGGGGATGTGTCTCCGTTTAGTGTTTGTGTGTGTGTTATTTGGTTCTTAGGGAGTGAGTGAGTATGATGTGTGTAAGCGTGTATATTGCTGTGGGTGTGTGTTATCATTTGGCTCATTAGGGAGTGAGTATGATGCATGTAAGTGTGTATATTTGTGTGGGTGAGTGTATAAGTGTGAGGCCTCCACACCTCCGTAAGCATGTCTGTCTTGTGTGGGTGAGAAATGTGGGTAGGTTTTGATTTGTTGAGTTATATATTGATACTATCTATATATTGTTAAATTTATGGTTTAGCCTGGCTGGATATTTTGTTTTTAGACGTTGTATCCACTTATTTTCATGGGACTCTAAAATCTTTCTAATGTTATCTGCTTTGAACTTTTCTATTCTCTCAATTATAGTGAATTTGGCATGGGTTTTGAAATCATGTTGTTCTACAGGTAATAATTTTTCATGGGGAGTCGACTTAATTCGCTTACAATAATTATTAATTCTGTAGTGAAAGGGCCATTCCTACATATTGTTTCTGGCATAGTGTGCATTCTAGGAGGTAAATTGTGTTATGACTTCTACAGTTAGTCGTAGTAGATTTTGAAAGTAGATTTAGTGAATGAATTCGTGTTTTTAATATGGTTGCAACATAAACTTCTTTTGTTGTTACATGGTTGGGAAAATCCTGTTGTTTTTGTTCTTAGTTTATTACGGATTACCTTGTCTCCTGAAATGTGGTTACTACCTATGATTTCTTTTAGGTTCTTAGGTCTACGATATGCAAGAAGGCCGGGTTCCTTAAACAATTTTTTTAGGTCTGGTTTGAGATGTAGTATTTCCCAGCGACGTTTGATTATTTGGGATAGTGGAGGCAGAGTGGGATTGAAAGTGGTTACTAGAGGGATGCGGCTAGATTTATTTTTAATCTTGTATATTAGGGTATATATATATATATATATATATATATATATATATATATATATATATATATATATATATATAGAGGATGTTTCTATAACTTGGACCAATTTTAAATGTAAATTACGTTTAAGTGTCTAATGATTTTTTCTTTTTCTTTCAGATTTAACAACTTAAGTCTTTGGCAATTTCAACTATGGAAAGATTAACAATCAAATGTGTTAAAGTTTCAAGAGTAGAACTGGAAAAATTGTTCGTAAATTCAGACTAACTAGGTCAGTGGCAGACATTAAAACACCATTGCATGCTTGTTTACACCGTTCAGCTGAAAACGTTGATGCAGTGCATGAGAATGTGGTCGAAAATCCAGACCCCTCTATTCATCATCACGCACAGGAATTGAACCTCTCCACAACAATGTTACATCATTTTCAATTGCACTCTCGGTTGGTCGACTATGTTGACCAAAAAAATCAAAGTGCACAAAATGCATTTCTCCTTGAATGTCCATTTTCGTAATAGGCTTTGATAACTTTAAGACGTTGTTTGATTAAATTGCCAAAGACCTAAGTTGTTCAATCTAAAAGAAAAAAAAAAAAAATCATTAGATGCTTAAACTTAATTTACATTTGAAATCAGTCCAGGTTATTGGAAAACCCTTATATATATATATATATATATATAAGTAATACATTGTTTGTTTTATTTAGAAAGACATTTAACTTATTTCAACATGCCACTTCCTGTCTTCATACATAGAAAAGCTTATAAGCATCCAAAGTTGACCAAACTTTGGATGCTTATATACTGCCATCTCTCTCTTCTGAAAGCATCAGTTTTCCATTTTCATTCTTGATAATTATTTCCATCTTCATTTTTAACAGTTTATTCATTTCTCCAGTTAATTACTTCATTAATTTTTATGTAAATCACTAATTTTTCTTTAACTTTTTAGATGCCTGATTTTTAAATATAGCTGATTCGATCCAATTTAAACAAACATCCACAGATCAGTTGCTATAATTCAATTACCATTGATATCAGAGCAAGAAAATTATTTGCTAATCATACAAATAGACTGAGATAGATAGATACTAATAGACTAAAACAGATTTGGTCTTCAAACTATTTGGTAATCATGTTTCTATCATCTCTCTAGAATTATACATGGTGCTTTTCAAAAGCATCATTTCCCCATTTTCATTTTTAACAGTTTATTACTTCATTAACTTTTATGTAAATCATTAATTTTTCTGTAACTTTTTAGATGCCTGACTGATTTTGAAATATAGCCGATTCTTCGGTTTGTTTAGATTTGTAAGGTTAAGCACCATTTTGTGTCTTATGACAATCTAAAAAGAAAAGCAAAGATTTGTTGTGTGAACTAATAATTTAACACCTGTCTATATTTCTGAGATGAGGTATTATGTACACTATTTACATTATTTGGACCATTGTCCTCATCTTTGTCACCATAGTTATTACAACATTTCAGCTGTTGTACGTTCCAGCCCCTTTCACTTTCAGATTGTTGGAATGTCGACCTGAACCGTTTATTTCGCTCACTGGATAGACTGTTCTAGTTCCACGTGCCATGTAATATGAATGTCAGTTATAAATTATCTCCTGTTAATTCCCTTCTCCAAGTTCTCCACTGCCTTAACCAGGTATTGAACTCACACTCTTTGGGTCCTGTCACTGGATCTAACTAACGTCTTTATCCACTGTGTCAGTTGTCCTTGAGGACACAAGAACCCAAATAGTGTACAGTATTTTTGATCTTTTGTTTTATATATCCAAAGTCAGCTGATTGACCTGTCCTTAAGAATGCCGGTGATAAGTAGGTAATTCAAGAAATTATTTTATTTGTTAATCTGTAGTAGTTGACTGAATTTATTAGCCTTTCATGCATGAGAAGTGCCTAGAGCTATGCCTAGAAAAACTTTAGCACACTGCTTTCATAAAAATGTGATTTACATAGGTATGTCAATCAAAGGTACAAAGTGGTTTAATAGTAATTGGTACTGCTGCTATTTTCACTTTGAAGTTGGGTGCAGCACAATATGCCAAGCTTCCTATTTAATTCTTGTGCCAAACTAAAATGGCAAAAATAAACAACAATGAAAATGTAATAAATGTTTTATTTTATAACTTTTAAAAGTTGTATTAAAAAAAAAAAACAACAAAAAAAAAAAACAAACTAGTTTTCATATGCTGTCAAAAGTGTTGGCATAGTTGATATTATTATTATTGGAAGGTTTTCATGCGAGATTTTAAATATATATATATATATTTACATTTATATATGTAGTAATTAAAATGTGATCCATTTGTTAGTTAAAACAACAGAAAACTGATCCCCCATTTTATGTCCAGTTTATCCATGCTATATTTTAAATGATCATTATTATTGGAAAGTTTGAGTCTTGAAATATCATTAGTAGTAGTAGTAGTACTACAACTACTACTCTCCCTCTGCACTTTAATAATTGGAATTTTCACTTTTTAGTTTCATAAACATCTTCAAAGTTTATCATATCAGAAACTGGTACTTGCAATCAAGGCAAGAGAAATAATGGCAATTATCTCCCTCTCCACGGGTGACATCTTATATATATGTGTGTGTGTGTGTATTAGTGAATGAACTCAATTTTGGGGATCTGCTAGCATGATCACAAAATGATTCATATTTGTGCCAAACTACCTTACCATTAAAAAATAATTACTAGTGTAGTGAGTTTCATTCTCATTATGTGACCCAATCGTCTAAGCTTTGTAAACTGCATGTTGGCTGGCAACAATGTTGTGATGACATCGTTTGCAATAAGTTACCCAATGAATTATGGGGAAAAAAAGTAATATAAATACCCCACTAACAAAAATTTGCAGATCCTCTTTGTAAAGTATTTTCTTTTAGTAATCTACCATAATTTTGTTGGTTATTCTTTATTCATGAGGTGTGTGCAAGAGTTTCCAGCCAAAAAAAAAAAACTGTTTTTCTGTTTTTTCATTGGGCTAGAGGCTTTTATGCAAAAAAAGAAAAAGAAAAAAAAATTATATTTTAAAGAGAAGAGAGAAACCACAAACGTTTTTGGTTATAATGTGGATTTTTTTAAAAATATATATACTTTATTTTCTATATTTTTCCTACACGGGTTTCCAATCTTGCAACCTTCATCAGGCAAAGAGTGGTTATTTCCACATATTATTAAAAGGAATTAATTTTCCTTATGTTTTCTGATGTTTAACCATTGTCTTTTGTGTGTAGTAGTAACCCAAGAGAGTCGAGTTTTAATTCCAGTCGGATCCACTACATTCATTTATGTGCTAATACCCTTGGGAAAGGTATGAATCCTCTTCTCCCTCAAGCTATGGGTAAATAGCAGGACTGATTGGGTTCTATAGCCTTGGATGGCAACCTCCTGCAAAAAGAAAATCGAAATATACATGATCACCTAAGTGTGTATCACGCATGGCACATAACTCAGTAACCCAAATTTTTCTTGGACTGGTGGCGAAAATATTCTTCTGCTTAAGGGGTAATAAAACAATTAGGATTGGTCAGAGAAGGGGGTGATGGAAGGTATCTTCTTAGACCTAAAAGATGAAGGTCACAAGGCCAGAAACAAGTGTAGCAAAAAAATATGGAAAATAAAGTGTGTGTGTGTGTATATATATATATATATATATATATATATATATATATATATATATATATAAAAAAAAAAAATTTAGATTATAACAAAAAAACGTTTGTGGTTTCTAAAATATACACTTTTTTCATTGGAACAATCTAAACGTCCACACTATATATATATCTATATATATATATATATATATATATATATATATATATATATATATATATATATATATATTAGTTTATGAAAACTAGGTAATCTGTATGGGTAGACCAAAAGAGGATAAAATCCAGAGAGCTCAATGTAAATCCAGAGCAAATAATTTAAATAAATATATAAATAAAATGTAAGGGTGTCCTTGACTTATGACAGTACCATTCTTACAATGCGTCATAATGCATTTTTCTGTGTATAAACACTTACATCACTCACCTAAGACTAAAAAAAAAAAAAATCTTGCAGAACATAATACATAATGACTGCCATATTTAAATCATTGTGCAAACTTCATTGGTTATTCTTTCAGTAGGAGTAGTTGAGAATTTTTATCTGAACAATTAACTCTATTGTTCCATGTACCAAAGAATTTCCCTATTTTTTATTTTAAATCATTAAAAGAAAACTATTCAATGAATGGTAACATAAAACATTTACATATCACATACAGGAGGTCCTTGACTTACAACCGAGTTCCATTCCTGCAATGTGTCATGACGTGATTATCTGTTTAAGTCTGAACATACTCATGATTTTCCATGAATAAGCACTTGCGTCATTCATTTACGCTAATGCAATATAGTGAAGTAATAATCTCAGATATAACAACACATTTCTATGGCATATGTTAACATAATTAAGACTAAACAAAAAACACATGTAGGAGATAAATGTAATGAAATGAAAGTGTTTTAAGCTGTGTGTATCTTTATTGCCAGTGATGTCATAGGGTCTTCTCAGTAGATGAAATGACGAAGTGTAAGGTCTTGTCTCTCTTGTAGTACTTGGAGGCAGCAGCAAATGTGGGGAAGAAAGAAAAACAAATGTATTCTTCCACCATGATGCTGTTTGCCTCATGTATGTGAGGCAAATGGCATCAGTTGAGAAAAGATTAATGAAGATTGTGTCAAAATCACACATCGTATGTCAGGACTGTCGTGTGTGTGTAATATATATATATATATATATATATATGGACTCTCCTGTCGGGTTTGACGTATGAGGTTCCGACGACCATGAACTATCTGCATGCCTATGATAGGCATGAATTTTGAGACCGGCTCCAAAATTGCACAAAAGACTACAGGAGAATGTATTGTACCCAAGTGCAGCAGGAACACTGTTAGCTGTCTTATTTTGCTTTCTCATTTCATGTAGTCAACTGATGATTACTTCTCAGTGCAGTTATATCAATGTGGTACTTCTTTAGCACCACTGCATATATATAAAAAGTTATAGTTGTTCCAAAGAGAGAAAAATGTATATTTAAAAAAAAACGCAGACGTTTTTTTTTTTTTTTTATATATATATATATATATATATATTATTCTTAATATTTCTGCTACACACGTTTCCGGTCTTGTGACCTTTTGGCAAATGAAAGGAAGAAAACTAACACTGAAACATTAAAAGAACAAAAGGAAAATTTATTCCTTTTATTTGCCTGAAGAAGGTCATGAAACTGGAAACCCGTGTAGCAGAAATATGAAGAATAAAATATAATATATATGCACTAAAACAAATCACATTATAACCAAAAACATTTGCTTTTTTTTTTTTTTAAATAAATGTGTGTTTGGTGTGCGACTTAAATTTCATTGGTTATCCAACTTGTTTTTTTTATAAAAAAATATGCAGGTGTATGTATATTTATTAATATATAGCACTTATGTTTACACCTCTTGTCAAAATTTGGTAATTATTTATTTGCTTACCTGTGTATACTAGCCAGCAGGCAAGTATATTTAGCTATTTCATTTTCCTAAACAGCTTGTGTGTGTGTGTATATATATATATATATATATTCCATTCAATTTTTTTTTTTTTTCTTATTTCACTTTAAGTTTTTTTTTTTTATTACTTTTCAAAACACTTTATTTCTTTTGCATCATTTTCTTTCTTTTTCATTTTCTTTCATTATTTTGCTTTTTTCTTTCCTTGTATATTTTCAATGTCCTTTCTTAAAAATGTTACCTTCCTTTGCATTTTTTTTTTTTTTTTTTTTTTTTTCACAAATGTATTTTTTCAGTGTTGACCCCTTCAGAAAAAGTGAGGAACTTGTTCTTTACTTTTATCGCCAAATCTTGCTGCGAAGACCTTTTCAGTGCCAAAACGAGTTGTGCCACAGAACAAGGCCGATTGAGCACACGCCATTTGGCCAAACTCCGACGAGCCAATTCTTCATCTGTCCTATCTTGTGATAATGACATTTTGTCCCACATTTCTACATCTGATGTGCGCCTCGAGGCACTTCGGGGAGGGTTAAATGGTAAATGGTCATACAGCTTCTTCCAGTGTCTACCAATGTGCTTGGCAATGAATCGACAAGCGTCTTCAACATTTACTGAAATGAAAAAGAAATTTGTCTGAATGGTAAACAAAGATGACATGGTGGTGGTCGGAGGGGGTTTGTGATAAAAAAATTATTTTCACCCTTCCAATATCCATGTTTAAACACCAGTTCTCATCTGAACAGAGAGCCTGGTCAGTACCTAGATGGGTGACCACTTGGGAATACCAGGTGCTGGGAGCTTGGATGTGCAGGTGGTGTAATGGATAATGGCTCAGAATTATTAATAAGGGAGATGGGTTCCCGTATGATCACCAAAGTTAAGCAACGCTGAGCCTGGTTAGTATCTAGATGGGTGACCACTTGAGAATACCAGGTGCTGTAAGCTTGGATGTGCGGGTGGTGTAATGGATAATGGCTCGAAATTGTTAATCGGGGAGCAAAGTTCTTGTACGATCATCAAAGTTAAGCAGTGTCAAACTTGGTCAGTACCTAGATGGGTGACTGTTTAGGAATACCAGGCACTGTAAACTTGGATGTGCAGGTAGTGTAATGGATAATGGCTCAGAATTGGAACACTGTTCTCCAATTTCCAATACCAGTTGGGTTCGTTATATTCACTTACATACAGAAAGTTATGAATCCACCTCTTCTCCCCCAACTGTGGATTAAATAGTGGGACTTGTATCAGTAAAACATGATCTCCAAAATATTGTTAGAATCCAGAAAATATTTTCTGGCTTTAAAAGGAAAAATAACAGGAAATGGAAATAAAAAACAAAAAACACAAAGAACTTTAAAAAAAAAAAAAAAGACAAATTTAAAGCAATAGGAAGAAAATGCTCTGCAAGGGGTTGATAGACCATAAAAACTAATCAATCAAATCCACTTCCCTTCTCTACTCAGTCTGTTACTATTTTCTCCATTCCTCCTCCTAGAGGGGGAGAGAGATACATGGGAAACACAGACTAACAAAAAAGAGGGTTTGGGTGGTGGGAGATACATAAGAAGCACATACTATCAAAGAAAGAGTGGGAGGAAGCTGAAGAGGTAGAAAGAGTTAAACAGAACATGGCAAAATGAGGGGGAAATGTAAAGTTAAGATTCAAGCAACACATGGGGTGGGGGTAGAAATAATAGAGAGATGCAGACAAAGAATGGAGGGGGCCGAAAAGATAGAAAGAAAAAAAGGCCAAACAGACAAAATTTAGATCGATACAACACTAACACTTATTGTTTTTTACTTGAGTATGTTGTGTTGGCTTTTTAAATACCCCAGGGCTCAGTCGGTCATCTCTCATTTTCCTCAGTGCATCAGTCTGAATGGTCACTTTGGTCAGTTCATTGGACACATTGTTGATAAGCACGTCCACCTCATCTACTTGGCGTTGTAATTCCTGTAATTGGTGATTCTTGTTAGAAATGAACATCTTCAGTTCATAGTTTGAAACATAAAGGGCTCTCTGCTCCTTTTTGATTCGAGCATACTGCGTCTGCATTACTTGTAATTGCCGTAAATAGTAGTTGTTGTCGCTGCAGTTATTGGTCCGATTGTTAGTTTTTTCCTTCATTGTGTCAGGGTCTGCAAAAAGAAACAAATGTAGATTAAGAATTCCAGTCAAATTGGAAACAAAGATGAAAAATGTTGCAAGATTAATTAACAATTTATGCATGGAGAATAATGAAAAATGTTGCAAGATTAATTAACAATTTATGCATGGAGAATAGCATGGCTGGATGTTTAGAATTCGTTCTTTCATTAATATTATTTCCAGCTTGCTAGAAGTTCTCCACTCTAGTTTTTGATTTTAACCCTTAGCCATCTGTATTCTTTTTCAAGGGCTCTCAATTGCAGGACCCTTATTGTTAATTTCAGTCAGACACTATTCTTCAGGAATAATTCACCTTATTATAATAATATTATGGGTTGACCAGAGTCTGGGCTTGGGTATCTTCCACCTTTAGCATCAACCTTTTTCTAAAATTCCATATTTTGAAAATGTTTACTGGAGTCATTTTCCAAATTTGGGGTTGTCCAGCCCCCTTTTGAGAGTGGTCAAAGGAATGAAGCTGCCCCTTAACTCCAACTCCCTTCACACTTCATCTCGCACCACCGCTCTATATAGGCAGCACTTCTCTCACTCTTCTTTCTCCCACTTTCTAACCTCGACACACCATTCCTGTGATGAATCCAAACTTTCAGAATGTGTAGATGAAAAGTGATTTTCCAATAATTAATCTTTCTTCATCAGTTTTCAGAGCCCATACATGTGTTCCCACTCCATGTCAGCCAATCTCAAGAATTGGTATGAAAGAAAAATGTTCCCAATCTCTTTACTGATAAACAAAAAAAACAAAAAAACAACATACCTTGTCTCTGTTTATGCATTTTCTGTCAACAAGACCACACAGCCTTTTTTGCACATGGTCACTCAAAGATAGTAAATAGTTTTTCTTTCACTCTTGTACTCAAAGGAATCTGAATTAATGTCAGATATAATATTTTTCTTGCAGAATGTCGCAGAAATCAAAATGAACAAACCTCCCTATTCTTCTGGGTGAACTATTCAAACGAGATAGTATTTTCTGTTTTTTTTTATCCAATCTTTAAATGTTATTTCAGGGACCATTTCTTTATTGACAACATATGTTTGTATATGATTTCTTCGAGGATAAATTAACGATCTCATCAGCTAAAGTGGGGGAAAAGCAGGTGGTGATGGTTTCCTCAATTTTACTGAATATCTAATTTTAAACATGACTTTTCAACACATTTCACTTTCATTCTTCTTCCATCTGGAAAATTCATTCTCCTTCCATAATAATTATTATAATAAAAGATTCAATGGACACAGGTATTATGTCAGGAAATTTTAATGAACTGTTCACCTTAAGCAGTTTGAGTAATTTCACTTAGTAATTGACAAATAGAAAATTCTAAGATTAACAAGATGAATGTCATATTGTTTCAGTTGTATGCCTTCATGCAGGCGATGTTTCATTCATTTTAACGTGTATATTACCAGTACAGCAGTTTTTCATTACAAGACAAGGAACTGTCAGCAAGTTCATGGCTTGTATCACTCCGAAAAAGCTTGAATAGTGATTTGGACGACGTGGAGGGAGGAAACATCATCTAAGGCTGACAATTAGAACTGATAGAAAATTGGCGATATTGACAGATTTCAGCTAAAGATATATTATGATATCATAATATATTATATGATATAATATATTATATCATAATATATTATAATATATATTATATCATAATATATATTATATCATAATATATATTATATCATAATATATATTATATCATAATATATATTATATCATAATATATATTATATCATAATATATATTATATCATATATATATTATATCATAATATATATTATATCATAATATATATTATATCATAATATATATTATATCATAATATATATTATATCATAATATATATTATAATATATTATATTTAGTTTAAAAAGGTGATCAGTAACATAGTACTACTATAGAAAATTAGTAGAACTAGACAATACCCTTTGATATGTGTATTGTTATCTACCCCTGTATATTAAACGGTTCAGTTCAGAGTTTACCTCCATTGATATACAACTGAGGATTGTCAATGTCACAACAACTAAATAGTTAAAATATAAAAAATGGAAACAACAACTCCTGATCACAGAAATTATAGAAGCATTCATTCAGCCAAAATATAACTCCATGTTATAGTGTATTTTTTTATCTTTGCTTAAAATTTTTCAGAAAAATGATTATAATGTATTATCTTTTTAACAAAGATGAAAGAAACAAATCTTTACGGTACCTTCACATCTTGGAGATTTTTCAGGCGATGAATTCTTTGTAGTATTGGTCACTTCTTTTTTGTTTGAGTTTAATTTATATTCCAAACTTGAAATGACATACTCCAACATCTGTCGATTGTTCTTAATTTTCCGCCTTTCTTTGTTCTGTAATCCAAAAGTCCGTTCCATATGTTCACGAATTCTGGTCTTTTTTTCTATGGTGCCAATGAGTTGAGAGCGTTTTTGCCTTAACTCGGACAGCTGTTTCGCATGACCCTCCCTAATGACATTGTTGGATGTCATCTGCTGCCAGAGTATGTCTGGATACCTTCCTTCCTCTCTCATCCATTCCAAGGTCATGTCACAAATTGAATGGAGTAAGAGGCACACCTCCCGGGTACTGTCAGCATAAAAAGGAAACTCATGAATCTGCTTCCAAAATGGCTTTGACATTGTGTCCCATTGTGCAAGGCGATCTTTCAGGGCATCCATCTTGGAGTTGACATCCATCCTGAAAGCTTGTACCTTTTTATTGAAGTCGCTGATCCCTTCCAAACTGAAAATGGCCAGTTCGTTTCTTTGATCCTTGTCACTGAGCACATACACATGGTCATGTAGGCACAAGAGCAGCCGGTCACGTGACTGGGTAGCATCCAATTGGAACTCGTCTTTCCATTTTTGGATCTTGTTAATGAGGTGATAAGCGTCAGTCTGGATGCACAAGAATCGTTGCCGGTGATTACTCTCTATGAGATTGACAAATTCGTTGTAGGTGAGAATTTCAACACCCACCAGGTTGAGCTTAGTGCATGTATCTTGGATAAATTTTGAGCACTCGTGGCATTCATTTTCGGTTAAGATTGAATCTGTGCTTAGGTACTTGCTAGTTCGATGCTTTATTGAAAGGACAATGTCCTTTACGAAACGGTATTCTTTTTCAAAACAAGGGGAGAGTGTATTGTAACGTTTTCTTCTCGGGGGTGATGTCATTGTCTCATCTGTGATCTGCATAATTACTCATGTCTTTTACTGTGCCTCTAACACCACTGGATTATGGGCTCCCCAGGTGATGTCAGTGTACCTGAAATAAATGAAAGATATATCTGATAAAATATCATGGTTTACTGGTTATCAGAAATAGTTGCATATTTTCCAACTTCTGAGGTTTTGACCTCGAAAGAAGCTGATGTATATCCTCTGTCATGGTATCCTAGCCATTTTCATCTAAAAGAAAAAAAAAAAATAAATAAATCGGCCTAATTTTCCATTTCCTTTAGCACCATCCGTGTGTAAGGGTGTTTAAGCTAAATATGGTATGTCTGACATTAAAGAATCTAATCATTTTAAATATCTCAAGAATCAGTTATGGAATATTAATATAACTTGACAACCAATCAGAAGAGATACATGCTTGAACAGACACTCTTCCATAGGTTACTCAGTAGTGAGATACTATTTAAGTAGTTTGTGTATTGGTTGACTGTGTAAATAAATCAATACAGTTTCATGCAGGGTTTTCATCCAGGTTTTATTAGTCCACTTACAGTCCATATTGGCTCCATGTGATTTCTTTTTATCACCGTTCAAAAAGAAAAGATTTCCTACTGTAGCCGATCCTTATAATAATAATAAATCATATTATAATATTATATTTAGTTTAATAAGGTGAGCAATAACTGAGCAGTACTCTATCAAATTACTAGAACTAGACAATATCCTTTGATCCATGTATGAAGATCTACCCCCCCGTAGATTAAATAAACGCTTCAGTTCAGAGTTTACCTCAATCGATATATGCCTGAGGATGGTTAATGACACAACAACTAAATAGTTCCAATGTAAATAGTGGAAACAATAACTCCACATCACAGAAATGATAAAAGCATTCATTCAGCCAAAATATAACTTCATGGACCCATTTTTCTCTCCCTACACACAATGTAAGTCACATGGCGTGTTTTGTTACCCCCAAATTTTTCAAGTACTCATGATTCCTAGTTGGCAACTTGTTTCTCTTGCTCCCTCCTACTATTTTCCAGATTCAGAAAGGGTGTGGCACAGTTGTAATTCAGTTGTCATGGGAGGTGGGCACCAAGGAACTATCCATTTTCAGAAATCCAAGGTGACTAACACAGAATTAAGAGCAGCTGACGAAGATCTCAAAAAAGAACTTTAAAAAGTGTAATAGATAAGAATGTGTACTCCAAAGGGGTGTACTTTCAAAAGGTACTATGGTGCCATTATCCTAGGTAGGCCATTTTTCATTAATAATAGTGGACCAATTCCAGGTGGACCAGTTTTCAGGGTTATCAGCCCCCACCACCTTCATCATCTCATAATATTTATAGAATTTTTATACAATTATAAATATTGAATTTTAAGTCAGGGTCCACACTGAAAAAAAACACACACTGTGTGTTTGAGGTATTTTGGTGTAGATAGAATCTATCTATTACCATTTGCTCCTAACAAATGAATGGGTTTTGAATTTGATTAGCTAGATCAGAGATCAGATTCAACCAGCCTTGACCCATCTGAACCTTTTTTTGGGCTTGTGCCACAATTACTGTACTTAATCATTATTAAATCGTAGACAAGCAATGTTTGTACAGACTTATAATTTTATGTAGATTTATATATTTTTTTTAACAAATTGATAACTCCAAACTTGATTGCTTGGCACCTTATTTATGTTGCAAATAATAACGAGTCTACTCATTTGGTGGGATTTCTATCTTGTTTAACTTGCAGTAAAAATTTGAAATGACTTCTGGGGGAAAAAAAACATATGCTAATGGCAACATCAAGTATAAACATGTCTATTCAAGAAAATAATGCTTCACCGAAAAACTAAATTATGTTGTTCCCATTCATACATTGTACAACTATTAAAAGATAAAAAGTTATAACTGTTTCTTTGCGTGTACATAATTAGAATGTTTGAGATAAGACTGTTGTCCATCTGATGCTAATTAACATTGATGAGAGTGCAGATAAGAGAACCCTATAGATTTAAGGCAGACCAGCTAAGAGAAAGAAAAAAAGAATGAGCAAGATGGATTACCATGGACAGGAACAGAGATTTATCCAAAAGCACATTTACATTTCAACAACATGGAAATATTGTAGTGGTCACTCAAACATACCAAAGAAAATGAACCCATTTTTCTCTCCCTACACACAATGCTTTTTGTCCCAGCATTGTTTGGTTTCAAACTCAAAGATACAGAAGTGCCATTCTGTGTAGATGAAGTTGTGCAGTGGGCCAAGAATAAGGTCACCGCCTGGGTATTATCAATGGTGGCAGCTGCAGAATCTGTGAATGGGTTTCTAATCATTGGGTCTGCAAACCCACAAAGCCAAACTAAATCAGTTAGGAGTTGTGAAAGAGCAGGCAGGCAAGATTTTGTGCATATTCCAACCATTTGTATGAAGTATGTACTTAAAAAAAAAAAAAAAAAAAAATTAAAATTTACACGATTTTTAAAAAGTAAATCAATTGCAAGAAGAAAAAAAATAATTCGGCATAGTTTTCTTCCCTTCTTTGGAGAGGAAACTAGAACAGACCTTACTAACTTTAAAATTGATTGACTCTCTGTTAGCACTTTGGATAGGTCTCGCTCAATACTGCTACTGCAAAATTACTAAAGGGGTGAAGTATAAATTGATTAAAATTATTAAATTTTGATGAAAATATTGGTCACAAAAATGATTCCTCATAAATTGCAGAAAGATAGACTACAGATCACATGTTTGAGACCCTTGGTTTAATATTTTAAAAAATAAAAGAGCTCTTGGTTAACACTGAATCAATCAAGATGGTTGTATTTGTCTATATGCTGTGTTCAAATAGACCATAGTCCTGGGTATGACTATAAACTACATCTGGCAGCTGATCTGGAGATTGGAGATTTTGAAGAGCATGGAACTACCTCTTGGATAATGTGACTATATTTTATTATATTGTCAAGCAACGGTTTTCTGACACTGTGGCTAGATAGGCTTAGACTTATTTCTTAGTAATTAGGTCACCTACTGAACTAAAACTTGTTAAATGACACTATTAGTAATTAAAGTGAACCCTATACCCTATTTAAATTTTTAAATTGGCATGTAGCTGATCAAACAAAGATCAGACGTTTAGGCAGTGTTGATTGGTTGATTTTGTTTAGTAGCATATCAAAACCTCTATGGGTTGTTTAAAAACAAAATTTAAATATTTTGAAGACAATTTTATGGTTTTGATTAAATATATTTTGAACGCAATTATATGCCTTAACTACGGATAGAATGTATTGTTGGTTATTTTACTTTAAATAGGTATTGTTTGTAATTTTTTATATGATAATGTATTGCTAGTATTATTATACTTTCATAGTGTTTTGTTTGGAGGTTCACTATTTGCCCATATCTGGGACCTAAAACAGATGCCAACACCCTGGGTTTTGGTGAACCAGTAGTTAAGAGATGGTTCTATGCTCCTGAAAAACATCCAATCTCCTGATCAGTGACTTTGTTGCCAGATGTAGTTTGTCATCATTCCCAGGTCTAGTTTAGGCAGTGTGACCACTTATATGAAAGATTTCTCAGAAAGGAAAAAAGGGGCAGGGTGGGGGGAGAATCAATGGGCTGTACTTGGCATCCATTGGTTGCCAAGCTGGATCCAAGTGTCCTATGCACCACCTCCCCTTAGAAATGCTGTTGAGCAAATAAAGGTAGCCACTTTTATGAAAGAGTGACTATTGTTATCTTTGGGGCGTCAGAGTGGATTTTTCCCTAACTTCATCCCTCTGTGTGCATACCTTGATAATTTTGGCCAACATTGACAAGCCATGTTACAAAGAAGAAAACAAATCATGGTATGGGGTTGATGGTTTGTTTGATGAATCTGTCATGCCTGGGAACAATGAAAAGCCAAAACAACAAATATTTAAATGATTTGCAAGCCAAGATCAGATTGTGGAACATGGTGAACAGTTAATTTAAAGAAAAACCTACAATTACAGTATCAATCAATCAATCAATCAAAATAGGTGAACAGGATGCAGTTTTTGAGTAAAATTACACATTACAACCTCCTAATTAGTATAGGTCTCGTAGAGGAGAACGCTTTGATAAAAGATTGAATTTATAACTTCAGATACACATGTACAAAAGAATGTAAGGAGAAAACCAACTTTCCAATAAAGTCAGCAACTGAGGATATAAAAATAAATGAAATGCCATGAATAAGGAAACAGAAAATCTGATATGGCATATAATAGCTGGAGATATGGAGACAGAAGAAGTTGTATACGAAATAAGAGAAATTCATTGAATATTATTTTAATACTAACTCTTTATGACACTTGGAATATTAAGGCTAGAATTTAGTAAACATTTACATTCTCTCAAAAGATTATATATGTTTGACTGGATATTTAGTCTGTATCCCTGTTTCAGTTGCTATCCCTATTTAATTTCTTCAACAGTGAGATCTAGGCCAGTTGTTATTAATTTCACTGTTTAAGAAAATAAAAAATAAAAAAACAGGGATAGCAACTCAAATATGTGTACCAACTAAAAATAATTTATAGTAAAATTACCAGCAATACATTTTATCTGTAGTTGAAGGCATCCAATTACATTCAAAATATATTGATAGTTGAAGCCATAAAATTGCGTTCAAAATATTTAGATTTTAGCATTAAATAACCCCTAGAGATTGATATACTGCTAAACAAAATCAACCAAACTATCAGTAATGTCTGCATTAATGCCTGACCATTGACAATCCCTTTCTTTCTGATTTTCAATGTATTTATATTATCAAATATTTTTTTTTTTTTTAATGTATTATTAGTGTATATTTTGGCTTGTAATCACCTTTTGCTTGTGTAAACAATCACTTAATGGTGAATTGTGACTGAACAGTGAATTATTTAGGATATATTTTTTACTAAAAAAGTTAAAATACGAGTCATTGGGCAAAAGATTTTTTTCTTTTGTTTTTTTTTTTATGTAAAAATCTATTGCTGGTATTTTTACTATAAAAATATATTTTTATACTTTCAGTGTTTTGATTTTTGTTTGCACATAGCTGGGACCCTAACAGGTGCTACTACCCTGGGTTTAGGTGAACCTGGGAACAACAGCAATTAAGGGGTGGTTCCTCAAAACCCCCAATTTCTCAATTAGAGGCCTTGCTGCCTGATGTTGTTCATCATATCCAGGACTACATTACTGATAGAATAAGGCTATTATATGTATAATGTAAATGCATTGCTAATGATTTTACTATAGGAATGCATTGAACATTGGGAAGAAAGGGATTGTCAGTGGTCAGGAATGAATGCAAGCATTACTGATAGAATAAGCATATGTGTGTGTGTGTATATATATATATATATATATATATATATATATATATATATATATATATATACATTGCTAATCAGTTTAGCATTGAAAATCAGGGCAGAAGTGATTGTCAATATGCAGAAATTAATATAAGCATGACTCATTAAAATGGGGTATTTTTTAAAAATAAATTTTACATCAATGCAAGGCTTGAGAGCCATTCAATGTAGAGGATTACAATAGAAATGGTAATAATGAATGACGGGATGAATGGAAAAGAATGTGGTAGGTAGAAGATTATAATAAATATATTGCAAATAGTTTACTATAGTAATGGTTTCAAAATCAGGAAGAAAGGGATTGTCAGTGGTCAGGAATGACTTCACATGTTACTGATAGAACAAGTGCTATAATAGACATAACATTAAATGTTCATATTAAATAAGTGGAATCTTTCAGAATCCCAAAAGTTCTAACTCTGTATTAAAGTTGTATATTGACAGAAGCCAAATTTGGATGTCATCGTGTAAAAATGACCATTACTATGGTTGCATCAAGAGACTTCCATTATTATTCTCACTGACAGTGAGACATTTCAACTATGATATCTTTTTGATTTGTTGTTGACAAAACAAATGAATATCTAAGATCTTGGCCTCAGTGACTTGTTTGTTTCTTTCTGTGTGTTATTCTCGTCTGCTTTAATCTATTGATTAGCACCGATCTTTAAACCTGTTTCTTTATTTTTAGTTTCATTGCTCCTTCGACATAATCCCCCTGACAGGTCAAGTCAGCTGGCCAGGTCAATCAAATTACCAAAAGGTTGAAAACCATATCATTAATATAAAATAAATTCATGTTTATACTAATTCAGTATCTGCAACTTTTTCCAACTTAATCACCTGACAGTTATTTGTAAGAACATCTTTTTTTTTAATATCATTCATCATTGTATTTCCTTAAAAAAAAAAAAAATAATCAATATTTTTCAGGCTTTAATTTTGAGGTTAAGTTTAATCCTTAAAGCAGGAATGGGTTTCAGAAGTCTGTGAGGATCAAATAAAAATTAACATTTACTATAAAGCCTTTGTCTCAATCACTGGTTTCCCCAGTCAAAGAAATAAAAGAAAATAAATGTGTGTCCTCATTCTCTGCACAACTGCTGTCTTTTGCCACTCCGTAAGAGCAAGTGACAATTCACAATTTCCACGTTTATCATGGCTTGATTATCTTCTCACATCCTGGCGAGGATTAATTGACCACAATTTCTTTCAAGCATGACTGGCTGAAAAGTGACATGTAGGCAGTATAGAGAAATGCACGTACAAGTTTTGTGGAAAAAAAAAAAAAAAAAAAAACACACACACACAGAGACTATGAGAATCTACTTGTTTGTTAATGAAGGGCTAGTTCTTATTGGGATCACTGGTTAAAGGGGTCTATTACTCAAAAAAGGTTAAGAACCGTTGACTTAAATGGTGGACATAATCAATTGTTTTATTGAGATAAGTAGATATCATCAATTATTTGAAATTTTTCCAAAACTATGGGCCTCATTTGTTCATGATTTGAGTCTAAATAACAATTCTTGAATTCGTGAGGTTTCTGTCCATATAGTATTTATATGGTTGCTGCAAATAAAGCCAGAAGAACATGTAGCAACAGCTGGTTTGGCTAGACACATATACGTTCAAAACACTATTAGCAGCAGCAACACCTTTTCACTGGATCTAACTAATGCCTTTATCCAGTGACAAGACCCAAAGAGTGCAAGTTCAATACCCGGTTAAGGCAGTGGAGAACTTGGAGAGGGTAATTAACAGGAGATAACTGATATCCATTAAACCATGGCACGTGGAACTAGAACAGTCTACCCCAGTGAGCGTAATAAAGGATTCAGTTTGACATTCTAACCACCCGAAGAAGGCCGGAGTGTACAACGGCCAAAACGTAATAAATATGGCGACAAAGATGAGGACAATAGTCCAAATAATGTACATAATACCTAATCTCAGAAATATAGACATGCATAATAACTACTTTTTAAAACCATGATTGTTCTTGTCTTTTTACTTGTTTGGCACTCCTGTAATCTTTTGGGTCATGCAGTCGACAATTACATGAACACGGCTCTTGCTCGTATAAAACTGAATCAGAAGTATTATTTACTAGCTAAAAGTACTTCATACATCATATCTACTTATGTATCTTTTGCAAGCTAAAATGTTAGAATGGTTTAATTAATTAGGTACAATTAAATTTGTGGGGGATTATTCCATCTTGTCTGTCAGAACACCTACAAGGTATCATTCTTTTCAGGACTAAGGAAGGTACATAAAACCTCTCTTGCTTTTTAGGATGTGATAGGTAGAAGATGTGTCAAGTCTCTCCTTCTGGTAGTGTAGTATGTACATTTCATGAACCTTGTTTAGAAATCAGTCAAAATTTAATAAATGAGATAAAACTTAGATGAATATTAAAGAAAATCTCTTATAACCAATTTTAAGGTAACAAATCTAATTTCAAGCTATGAGTGATTTACACAAATTAAACCTTATACTTTATATATTCTGGTAGGAATATGCTCAAGGTAGGAGACATTTTTTCTGGGAAATATCTGATTTGGGGTAATTTTCATGAAAATTTATTCTGCCACTATGCTGTGATCAACGAAGAAAAAAAAATTGCAAAATGAGTCACTTTGAAGCATACGACTGCTGTATAGAATCCGGTACGATTAGATTCAGTTGTAAGCAAACACATGTACTTGGGTGGCCAGATCTGTCCATTCCATTTAGGAATGATTAAGACATAGGTGCAACAATAAATCTGTAACCTCAGGATTTAAAAGAGGGAAAAAAAAAAGAGGAGACATAAAAGAGAGGAAAAAAGAAAAGAGGAAAAAAAGGAGACATAAAAGAGAGAGGAAAAAAGGAGACATAAAAGAGAGAGGAGGAGAAGAAATAAAAGAGGAGAAAAAAGTGAGGTAAAAAGAAAAGAGGAAAAAAAGGAGACATAAAAGAGAGAGGAGGAGAAGAAATAAAAGAGGAGAAAAAAGTGAGGTAAAAAGAAAAGAGGAAAAAAAGGAGACATAAAAGAGAGAGGAAAAAAGGAGACATAAAAGAGAGAGGAGGAGAAATAAAAGAGGAGAAAAAAAGTGAGGTAAAAAGAAAAAACAGAAAAAAACAAAATCATTTATTTTATGCAACAAATAATTTTGAAATTATTTCATTCCTTGTCAACGCACTTAATACATTACTGAAAATCAATCACATTGATCAAATTTTAAACAGTAACTATACCAGATGGATGCCAAACTATGAACTTATTGATTTATGCTTGTGTTGATATCCTCAGCTCTATCTTTATAGATGGACAGAAAGAGACAAAAGAAACAAATCTAGATGGACAGAAAGCAAGAAAGAAAGAAAGAAACATTAATTGGGAGATGGATAGAAAGAAACCTAAATGGACATAAAGAGATGAACAAATAAGGAAATGTAGAGGGATAGAAAGAAAGAAACAAACCAACTTAGATGGATAGAAAAAAAAAGAAACAAACTTAGATGGATAGGAAGTAAGAAAGAAACAAACAAACCAACTTAGATGGATAGAAAAAAAAAGAAACAAACTTAGATGGATAGGAAGTAAGAAAGAAACAAACCTAGATGGATAGAAAGAAAAAACAAACCAACTTAGATGGATAGAAAAAAAAGAAACAAACTTAGATGGATAGGAAGTAAGAAAAAAAAACAAACCTAGATGGATAGAAAGAAAGAAACAAACCAACTTAGATGGATAGAAAAAAAAAGAAACAAACTTAGATGGATAGGAAGTAAGAAAGAAACAAACCTAGATGGATAGAAAGAAAGAAACAAACCAACTTAGATGGATAGAAAAAAAAAGAAACAAACTTAGATGGATAGGAAGTAAGAAAGAAACAAACCTAGATGTATTATAAAGGAAGAAAAACCTAGATGGATGAATAGAAAGAAAGAAGCAAACAAACCTACATGGATAGAAAGAAAGAAAGAAAGAATACAGATGGATAAAACAAAAGAAATGAATGAACCTAGATGTATAGAAAGAAACAAATGTAGATAGATATAAAAAAAGAAAGAAACAAACTAGAGATATAGAAAGAAAGAAACAAATAAACATACCTAGATGGATTATGAAGAAAGAAAAAAAGTAACCTAGATGGAATCAAAGAAAGAAAACTAAATGGATAGAAAGAAAGAAACAAATAAACTTAGATGGAAAGAAATAACGAAAAAAACCTAAACGGATAGAATGAAAGAAACAAACTTAAATAGGTAGAAAAAAAACTCTAGATGTATAGAAAGAAACTTAAATGTACAGAAATCAAGAAATGAGCAAGCCTAGATGGAAAGAAAGAAACAAGCAAACCTAGATGGAAAGAAAGAAAGAAACCTACAAGGATAGAAAGAAAGAAAGAAAGAAACAAGCAAACCTAGATGGAAAGAAACCTACAAGGATAGAAAGAAAGAAACAAGCAAACCTAGATGGAAAGAAAGAAAGAAACCTACAAGGATAGAAAGAAAGAAAGAAAGAAACAAGCAAACCTAGATGGAAAGAAACCTACAAGGATAGAAAGAAAGAAACAAGCAAACCTAGAAAGAAAGAAAGAAAGAAAGCTAGAAGGATAGAAAGAAAGGAAGAAACAAGCAAACCTAGATGGAAAGAAAGAAAGAAAGCTAGAAGAATAGAAAGAAAAAAACAAACTTAAACAGGTAGAAAGAAAGAACTCTAAATTGATAGAAAGCAGGAACAAACCTAGATAGATCGAAAGAAGAAAAGCAAAGAAAACTAGATGGATCGAAAGAAGGAAAGAAAAGAAAACTAGATGGATCAAATGAAGAAAAAAAAGAAAACTAGATGGATCAAATGAAGAAAAGCAAAGAAAACTAGATGGATCAAATGAAGGAAAGAAAAGAAAACTAGATGGATCAAATGAAGGAAAGAAAAGAAAACTAGATGGATAGAATAAAAGAAACAAACCTAGATGGATAGAAACAAATAAAACTAAATGGATTGAAAGAAACAAAAACAAACAAACCTAGATAACCAGACAAACCTTAACAGAGGTAGAGAAGCACCCACCTAGTAATGTACAGGAACACACAGGCAGATATCTTAACTAATTGTACGTAACAGACTAATTGAAAAAAAATAATGTCTTAGCCAAGAAATCATTGACTTAAGAATATGCCCCCAGAATAGATTTGAATATAAAATGGCCTAGTGAAATAAAGTGTTGCTTTATGAATTTTTAGACATAGAAATTGTGAGTTCAATCCCTTGGCCAGGCAGTGTGTACTTGGACTCAGTGGAAACAAACCAGCAATAATTGAACAGTATGAAAAATAAGAACTAGACGAGATATCCTTAGACATGGGCAGTGGAACGAGAACAGCCTATGCCTGTAGATTAAATAAAAGGTTCAGTTTAGAAATCCCTGTAGTTTACCCAGATTAGTATACACCTAAGGAAGCCCAGAGGGCACAATGGCCAAAATGTTATGATAACAGCAGCAAAAATGAGGAAAATAGTTTGAATACAAATAGTGTAAATATAGAATAACAAAGTTCAAAATTCTATGATGCATAAAACAACTCTGGGAATCTAAAATTACAACAGTTCTACAATCTGAGGGTCAATGAACCTGAAACAAAAAACACCCTAGAGAAAATGTTTATTTTTTAGGTATAGAGTAGGGTAAATCAAATGACCAGATTGAGGATGAATTTTTTTCTCTAATAGACATAGGTTGCATCACCTACCCCCTTTGCCGGAAAATGGCTTTGTTTAGGCTACAAATTCCCAATTTACACAAGGTGTGTAGGCATTTACTCTTATATATTTATAGACAGTTTGTCATTTTCTTTATAAATCATTTCATAAATTTTACAGTTAAAAGTCTATGACACATGGTAAAGAGAGAAGGCTTACAGAATGTAAAACTTACAGGACCCATTAAAAACAAGAAAAAATAAGGTAACCAACTTCACAAATCTGAATAAAACAACTTCATGTATAGTGCGACTCCTAAAAATTTTTGCATGAATTTTAATCTCCCCAGAAAAAAAATCACCTGTGTACAGTGCAACCAATCATCAAAAATGAATTTTTTTTCTTCAAAGAACAGTCTTTACTGAATGATATGAACATAGCCACATTCATGGTTTTTGCTAGCATTTCTAAACTAGATCCCCGCAATGCTTGTGGATCCAACGATATTCCTGCAATTGTCCTACAGAAAGGTGCTCCCAAACTGGCTCCTATTCACTCCAAACTTTACAATAAATGCTTTGCTGCTTCTTACTTTTCAGCTTGTTGGAAGTCCTCCTCTGTAGTTCCTGTTTTTAAGAACTCTGGAGAATCTTCTGAACCCTCAAATTATCATCCTGTTAGTATCTTACCTCTTTTTGGCAAAGTACTGAATTGGTTAATTGATTCATGTGTGCATTCAATGCTGCTGCAATATCTGGTCTGGTGCTTTTTTTTTTTTTTTTTTTTTAAGCAATTTGCCCCAAGCAAGGCATGAGTGCCACTAGCACACATTGGGTGACAGACAGTGAGAGTAAAGAGAAGTGTTTGGGAAAAGGATAAAGAGAGGGACAGGGATCAAGGTCAAGGCATTTGAATATTTGAAGATAATAGATATCAGGGAAGCAAGAGGAAGGGAGTTCTACTGACAGGAGGTGTGAGATAAGAAGTGAGACTGAGATGCCAACCTAGTAGCATGCTTAAATTCATGCAATTTGGGAACCAGTGAGAGAAGCTTGTTGAAGCAGTTGCCATGAAAGTACTTGTAGAAAAGGCAGAGGGAAGCCACAGCACATCTGTGAGATAGCAACTGCAGATGGGATGCTAGATCAGGACTAACAACATTGCATATCAGTTTCTGGATTTTATCTAGGATCTCAAGATGAACAAATTCAAAGAAGGGTCAGCAATGTAATCAATCCTGACCTGGCATCAGTCACATTCTCACCAATGTGACGTGGCTTCCCTCTGTCTTTTCTACAAATATTTTCATGGCAATTGTTCTGATGAGTTTTTACTGGCAGCTAGTTCTCACCGTTTTATTGTTGATCTAGCTTGATACAACTGATACCAGTTTCTTTTCACCTGTGGAACTCCCTTCTGATTTTTTGCCACCTACAATTTTCTAAAATTTAAAAATTTCTATATGCTCTATTTCTGCTCCAGTGAGCAACTCTCACTGGTACCCAAATTGCATGAATTTAAGCGTGCTACTAGGTTGACATCTTAGTCCCATCCTTTCACTGTCAAAACAATTAAATGTAACCATCTCTTCTACTCCAACAGCTTCTTATCTCGCATCTCCCATCAGTGGAACTCCTTTCCTATCACTTGCTTCCCTGATAACTATAGTGTTGGAATTTAATTTGAGAACAATATTTTTACAAGTTCACATTCTCGCTATTTTTTCCTATCCTCACTCCAACTTCTTGTTACTTTCAAAACTGGCTCCCAAGGCCTTGATTCTTATCAGGGATAAGAATATATTTTCTGACTAAGGAGAGAGCTGAAAAATATAAAATGGAATTCCACCATTATTCTTTCAATGGCGCCATAAAGTCTGGGTAAAATACCTCACAGCCTTCTCACTCCAACCTGTTTTCTGTGGCAGACATGAGACAGAACCTGGGACGAGCACAACTGGTTGCGACTTGCCTTGTCCCCGCCAAAAAAGAGCCCATATTTGCTTAGCATGTAAAGCTACTGCAGTTGAAATGAGGGAGAAAAAAAGCACTTACCGCTCTGCCATAATCTGTCCTCGGCCAGATAACATAAAAGAATGAGGGGGGACTTGCATTGCATTTTTATGCAAGAAAGATGCAATGCATTATGGGACAGGGATGCAATGAATCATGGGATCACATGAAGACGGAAGGGATTATGGGTATATGGACAAATATAAAAGCAACTACTTTTTCCCAGTGGGGAGAGTTCTTCGAGTGACGTTCACAGTTGGCGGCTAGAAAAGTCTGTTAGTGCGATTTTGAGACAGAACTCAAGAAGGAACGACTCGAGGTTGGAATACCAGTTGGGAGAGCTTGAATTTACTCGCTGGTTGCTGTTTTCTTTATTCTCCACATTTTCATTACTTGCAAAACCAGCTCCCAAAACCTTGATTCTTATCAGAGATAAGAATGTGTTTTCTGACCAATGGAAGGGCCAGGAAATTTGTACAACAGTTTTGGAGGGAAAAGTCCCCGATCCTTCTGAGCCTCCCAAATCTCGATAAATTTGGAGAATCTACACCTATTTGGCAGTGAGAATTCGACCTACAAACTCACTCGACTGCCAAATTCCTATATCTACTAACATATTTCTACTCTACAAGAACTGTGAATGTTTCTAAACCTTTAACAAAATTCTACTATTTTTTCTATCCTCACTCCTACCTCTTTTTACATTCAAAACCAGCTCCCAAAGCCTTGATTTTTATCAGAGATAAGAATATATTTTCTGACTAATGAAGTTGGACTTTTTTCTCTAATAGAGAAAGTTTGTCTGCTCTAATCTTCTTGTTTTTACCTGCGTTTTGTCACAATTTTTTAACCTCAACTCTTTGATGCGGGAAAGCCGGGACAAATTTCCCTGCAATAATCTTCAATTTCTAAAAATTTTTTAATTCAATCACCATCTTCTGTCTTTTTGAATTTTGTTCTTTTTTATTGTCCTTTTTTTTTTCTTTTTTTTTCCCCCCACTTCTCACTAAATTTTTCTCATTCTCTTCCACTCCCATGTCCTAGTGGCATTATTGCCTTACTTGGGATGAAATCAATAAAGGCGTGGGGGGGGGGGGGGGTAAGCTATTATTTTTCAAATAATGCCAAAAAAAAAAAAAAAAAAATTATATATCTAACTTCAAAGAATACATCTAGTTCTAGTATTATTTCTAATGTTTTTTTTGTTTTTGTTTTTTCTAAGTCAGTGATGGTATCTCACATTTATATTTCTGAGATGAGATATTGTAGCTATTTATTTTTACACTACATTTTCGGACTGTTGTCCTCATCTTTATTGTTATATTCTCGACATTTCGGCCGTTGTAAAAGAAAATAACTGAAACAGATATCCAGAAAAAGAAAAGCATGGCACGTGAACGAAATAAAGGGTTCGGTTCGAAATTCAAACATATATCACCTGAAGAAGGCCGGAGCGTATAACGGCCGAAACGTCGTGAATATGACAATAAAACAAGTAAATAAAACTTCAAACTTCACCTTCCCTTTTCCCGAAACATTAGCTGAACTTGTAAAACAACTGTATGCCGTTGTCTACAAGTCTCAAGCCTGACTACGGTTTACCGGGCAAGCATCGGAAAATAGATTAAAATTTCCTAGACAAACACTGCCAAAATTTAATACAGTGTGACCCAGATATAAGAGAGTTGGCGGGACCGGAGAAGAAGTCTCTTATATCCGAGTTTCTCTTATATCCGGGTCTGGTCTATTTTGTTTAGGTAAGTATGGCTCTAATTTGGGACCAGAGAAAGTCTCTTATATCAGGGTCTCTTATATCCGGGTTACACTGTATCATGATTCGAAAAAAAATAAAAAAGGCCTAGCACCACTGTAGATAATTTAATTCAATTCTTTTGTTTAAGGAAAAAAATAAAAATAATAATTTTTTAATTGCTTAGTAAAATCGCGCAGATAAATCGCGGCTTTTTTTTTTTTTTTTTTTAATTGGTAGTCAAGTCAGCTCTCATTCTCGAAAGTAAGTCATACAAACAAAAAGTATGTTTGCAAATCAAAAGAAAAGTTTTACAGTAAAAAAAAATTAATTTATGAGCATATCAGATGAAAAGGTCAAGAATTTTTAATACATAGCCCCCCCCCCTCCTACACACACACACGGACACAATTTTTAACATTTAATTTAGCAGAGCACCCCGACTTCTTATCCGTGACACTGTGACTCAAGTGGACACAAATTTTGATTGTTGCTTAAAATAACTTTGACTATTCGTTATCACGTAAAATAAAAAATCTAGTCACTAATTTGGACACGACTTAATAAGCACTGGGACCAGAAATAATCAATTATTAATTAATTAGTAAGGACTCCAGATCAATAATAATGATTAAATAAATAAATAACAAATAAGCAAAATCATATATAATAAAATTAAAAATTTAAGGGGGTCCAGTTCCATCTGCTATATTGACCCTCCCCACCACGGAAGCCAAAAAACAAAATATGTTCACAAATAAATTCTTGAAATTTACATTTTACATTAAAGAATTAAAAATAAAATCTGTACTGTAATTTCTTTACCTTCTGTCTCGAATTTCAATATATATATATATATATATATATATTTGCATTTTATTTTTAAGAAATCACGTGGTATGAGCATATTTTGTTTTGGCTTTCGTAGGGGAATCAATTAATTTATATTGCAAACTGCACCCCCCCACGCCTTACCAAATTTTATAAACGATTTTTTTTTTTTTTTAAATCGATATTTGAGATCCGGAGTGATTGGGGGGGGGGATTTAGGTCGTAATGTGTATTCTACAACTTCGCCTAATTTTTCAATAAAAATAAAAAATTACCTTTAAAAAATAAAAACAGACTGAAACTTCGTTTCTCGGGATTACTTTTTTCTTTCTTTATTTTTTACTTTTTTTTTTTTTTTTACAGTTTTTTTACGTTATTTGCGAAGCTTAAAAAAATTTAAAGATACGTTGAATTAACTAATTTTTAATTTTTACGTGAATAATAATAAGCTAAAAATTCGAAATGTTTTTAACTCGAATTTAGAGACCTATTACCATGGTCAGTGATTTTTTTTTGTACTTGGTAAAGTCGGCCATATACAAAAAGTAGAAAAATGTTTTTTTTTTTATGTCAGGAGTTGTAAAAATAGATAAATAAACTATAAACAGTAGATAAACGATTTCTTTTCTTTTTCTTTTTGCATGTATCCTTATTCAATTGTCTCCCTCTTTCTTAACATGAACACTTGTTTTTATTTGTACAAAGAAATAAAAGAAAAGAAAAAAAAAACGAAACTAGTTTTATGCGAACAATCAAGGGGGCATTCCCTCTTCTTACACCAAACCTTCCTTTGTTAATATAAATATTGAATTGTTAAACAGAGCATAAAAATTTTTAAAAAAAGTGTAAGAAAACTTACAGGTTCCCCAAATTCTTTCGCAAGACGACATCTAGTTGTAGATTTCGTAGAAGCCAAGCGACACCTGTTCCGCTTCTCTTTTCCTCATTTTCTCTCTCATTCTATTTTTAGTTTTCATTCTCTCTCTCTCTCTAACTCCCGTCTTTTATCACTTTCATTCTATCGTCTTTTCTGTCTGTCACTCTGTCTGCCTTTCTATTTTTTTTTTCTTGTCACTCGGGAGAAGAAAGATATCCTGTCAGAGTGAGAGAGAGAGAGTTGAAATCTATAGAAAAACCATGAGATAGATAAAAACAGAATGAGATAGATAGATAGACATAAACAGAATGAAATAGATAGATAAAACAGAATGAGATAGATAGATAGATAGATAGATAGACATAAACAGAATGTGATAGATAGATAGACATAAACAGAATGTGATAGATAGATAGATAGATAGATAGACATAAACAGAAAGAGATAGATAGATAGATAGATAGATAGACATAAACAGAATGAGATAGATAGATAGATAGATAGATAGACATAAACAGAATGTGATAGATAGATAGATAGATAGACATAAACAGAATGGGATAGATAGATAGATAGATAGATAGATAGACAGACATAAACAGAATGTGATAGATAGATAGACATAAACAGAATGTGATAGATAGATAGATAGATAGACATAAACAGAATGAGATAGATAGATAGATAGATAGATAGATAGACATAAACAGAATGTGATAGATAGATAGATAGATAGACATAAACAGAATGAGATAGATAGATAGATAGATAGATAGATAGACATAAACAGAATGTGATAGATAGATAGATAGATAAACATGAAACAGAATGAGATAAACAGATAGATAGATAGATAGATAGATGATAACATAAACAGAATGTGATAGATAGATAGATAGATGATAGACATAAACAGAATGTGATAGATAGATAGATAGATAGACATAAACAGAATGAGATAGATAGATAGATAGATAGATAGAATGAGAGACATAAACAGATAATTAGATAAATAGATAGATAGATAGATAGACATAAACAGAATTAGATAGATAGATAGATAGATAGATAGACATAAACAGAATGTGATAGATAGATAGACATAAACAGAATGAGATAGATGATAGATAGATAGACATAAACAGAATGTGATAGATAGATAGATAGATAGATAGACATAAACAGAATGAGATAGATAGATAGATAGATAGACATAAACAGAATGTGATAGATGGATAGATAGATAGACATAAACAGAATGTGATAGATAGATAGATATAAACAGAATGAGATAGATAGATAGATAGATAGACATAAACAGAATGTGATAGATAGATAGACATAAACAGAATGTGATAGATAGATAGACATAAACAGAATGAGATAGATAGATAGACATAAACAGAATGTGATAGATAGATAGACATAAACAGAATGAGATAGATAGATAGATAGATAGACATAAACAGAATGAGATAGATAGATAGATAGATAGACATAAACAGAATGAGATAGATAGATAGATAGACATAAACAGAATGTGATAGATAGATAGACATAAACAGAATGTGATAGATAGATAGATAGATAGACATAAACAGAATGAGATAGATAGATAGATAGATAGATAGACATAAACAGAATGTGATAGATAGATAGATAGATAGACATAAACAGAATGAGATAGATAGATAGATAGATAGATAGATAGATAGACATAAACAGAATGTGATAGATAGATAGACAGATAGATAGACATAAACAGAATGTGATAGATAGATAGACATAAACAGAATGTGATAGATAGATAGATAGATAGACATAAACAGAATGAGATAGATAGATAGATAGATAGATAGACATAAACAGAATGTGATAGATAGATAGACATAAACAGAATGAGATAGATAGACATAAACAGAATGTGATAGATAGATAGATAGACATAAACAGAATGTGATAGACATAAACAGAATGTGATAGATAGATAGATAGATAGACATAAACAGAATGAGATAGATAGATAGATAGATAGATAGACATAAACAGAGATAGAGATAGATAGATAGATAAACAGATGATAGATAGATAGACATAAACAGAATGTGATAGATAGATAGATAGACATAAACAGAATGTGATAGATAGATAGACATAAACAGAATGTGATAGATAGATAGATAGATAGACATAAACAGAATGTGATAGATAGATAGACATAAACAGAATGAGATAGATAGATAGATAGATAGATAGACATAAACAGAATGTGATAGATAGATAGACATAAACAGAATGAGATAGATAGATAGATAGATAGATAGACATAAACAGAATGAGATAGATAGATAAACAGAATGTGATAGATAGATAGATAGACATAAACAGAATGTGATAGATAGATAGATAGATAGATAGATGAGATAGATAGACATAAACAGAATGAGATAGATAGATAGATAGATAGACATAAACAGAATGAGATAGATAGATAGACAGATAGATAGACATAAACAGAATGAGATAGATAGATAGACAGATAGATAGACATAAACAGAATGTGATAGATAGATAGACATAAACAGAATGTGATAGATAGATAGATAGACATAAACAGAATGTGATAGATAGATAGACATAAACAGAATGTGATAGATAGATAGACATAAACAGAATGAGATAGATAGATAGACATAAACAGAATGAGATAGATAGATAGACATAAACAGAATGAGATAGATAGATAGATAGATAGATAGACATAAACAGAATGTGATAGATAGATAGACATAAACAGAATGTGATAGATAGATAGATAGATAGACATAAACAGAATGAGATAGATAGACATAAACAGAATGAGATAGATAGACATAAACAGAATGAGATAGACATAAACAGAATGTGATAGATAGATAGATAGATAGACATAAACAGAATGAGATAGATAGATAGATAGATAGATAGATAGACATAAACAGAATGAGATAGATAGATAGATAGATAGATAGACATAAACAGAATGAGATAGATAGATAGACATAAACAGAATGTGATAGATTGATAGACATGAACAGAATGTGATAGATAGATAATCATAGATATGAACAGACTATATGCAAAAACACAGTGACTTAAATATGAACAGACTTAGATCATTATTTATGTTATTTATATTCTTCGGACTGATGTCCTCATCTTTATTACCGTATTCACAACATTTCGGCCATTGTATGCTCTGAGCTTCTTCGGGTAATTGGAGGGACACATGACCCAGTGAATAAAAAGGTGTTGGTTGGATCCAGTGACTTGACCCAAAGAATTGTGAGTTCAATACCTGGCTACTACAGTTGTGAACAAAAACTTGGAGAGTTGAATTAAAGGGAGATAACTGAGACATTGGAAAGAGGCATAGCATGTGGAAGTAGAACAATCTACTCCAGTGGATGAAATAAAGGGTTCAGTTCAAAATTCCAATCACCTGAAGAAAGCTGGAATGTACAACATGACTATGGCAATAAACATGAGGACAACATCCGAACAGTGTAAATAATTACAATACATCACTTCAGAAATATAGACAGAGACTTAGATGTGAACAGATAACAATATTTTTTAAATTAATCTCTCTTTTTCTCTGTATGCTATATCCCTTCAGGATGTAGCTGATCATGTCTCTCCACAGTTTCCTATTGTTGTAGCATACCCACAGATGATAATGAGTATGTCCCCATTCACATAAATACAGTAGTAAATACTGTATGTTGGTCTGTAGTTGGAAATTCATTGTGGAATTCACTTGATTCACTTCTAGAAGTTGACTACTTCTACACACCACTGGAGAATCTTATATGTGCTGTTCTTGTCCTAAGTATTATCATTCATTACTAACCCTTGGTTGATTATTCTATTTGGTAACCTTCCCTAGGTTACAACACTAACACTTTGTATCCCAAGAGTTTTATTGCCTTGCTTGAGGTGAATGTGATATTGGCCATAAGCCAGTTTTGATTTTCAGAATATATAAATATATATTGTAAACAAGTCTTCTGTAGTAGCATACCTATGGACGATAATGGGTATGTCCTCATTCACATAAATACAGTAGTAAATACTGTATGTTGGTCTGCAGTGGGAGAATCATCTCCAGCTGTGCTAGTTAAACTCTCTGCCTCTGGGCAGAGAGGATCCCCAGACGAGGCTATGTCGAAAGACTGTCTTGTCTGGGGAAATAGCTACCCAACACTGTTTTATACGGGGTCTACAGGAAATTTTTGGCCGAGCCTACGGGCTCAGATACCCCACATTAAATTCAGCCTTGTGCCACATCTAACTGCATTGGGTAGTTGGTAGATATCCTGCAGTTGGAGATTCATTGTGGAATTCACTTGACTCACTTCTAGCAGTTGACTACTTCTTTTACGCACCACTGGTGAATCTTATATGTGTTGTTCTTGTCCTAAGTATTATCATTTATTACCAACTTTCATTTGATTATTCTATTCAGTAACCTCTCCCTAGGTTACAACACCTATGTATTGTTGCTCTAATTAATACGTTTTCCTTTATTATCTTTCTTTACCTTTGTGATCCTTGTTCTGCCATTGATTCCCTCAAACTAGTCAAGTCACTTAATGCTTTTCCTTGGTTCGCTTATCGTTGATAAGCCCTGTGAGTGTTAAATTCTCTGAGCCTTCTTTTCTCCTTATGTTTCTGAAAACTCTTCTTTTCTGTCTCTTTCTGATTGCTAGTAGCAAATTCTTTTGTAGCGCCTATTCTTAAAAATTCCACATTTCTCATATAATACTCCTATTATTCACCCAGTAGAACCATCTTCATGTTTTTTTTTACTGATCTTTGAAAAAATTATTCACCATATAACAGGATAGATATTGCATAACCGTTCAACTTTCTTTTCTTTACAACTCAGGATATTTCTTGATCCATTCTGAAACAAACTTTTGCTATTCCAATGTGTCTGTGGGGGAAAAAAAATAATAATTGTAGGGATACAGAAAGCACTTGGGTGGAGATAAGTCACAAGTGTCATGTGATAGGCCGCTTACTGACATCACTTCATACAGTGATAAAAGCAGCAGTCAAATTCAGTTCATTTTACAGAAGCAAAACCTAAAGGTTACTTTTTTTTTTAGCTTGTTCCCCACCCCTGGCCTAGGCAGAGGCTAAATATGCCTTCCCAGCAGTTTACAAGTTCGTGGTACAGTTTTCCCTTTGGCAATATATCTTTCCTAGGTATAGAAAGAAACTCCAACTTGTGTTCCTCAATTTGGAAACATCCAAGACTCATGTTTCCCGTTTCTGGAAAATGTCCTTGCCTAGGACATAGATGAATCTGGCCTGTTTGAATCTGGAGTCCTAAACATAGCTTCTCCAGACATAGGAGTATCTCCATATTATATGTAAGACTATTCATTTTTGTTTCTCTTTACACTCTGCTTTGCTGTGTAGATATATGTGATTTATTATTTTTCACATGGGACACTTGTATATATGTATATATAGCTTTGTGTATATCTTAGTGATATAAAAGTCTGTTTGAGAACAAAGCATGTTTGTCATTCTTTTTGCTTTCAGTCATTCCATCCTGTCCATGAACTACAGTGTTATTATGTCACAGATATAATAATGCCCATAATGGGGGAAATACAAATGGGAGAATGAATGTTTCTTCCATAGCTCTTTCCTGTTACATAATGAATAATATTAAAAAAAGAAAAACATTTCTCATGATGCTAAGAGTAACGGAACTGGAAATATGGTTGCCCAACTTAGCTTTGGAAAATGCCATTAGGTGGCGCTGTTTAAGTTTATAAAAAGACAAAGATTTTCCTTCCTCTTCCTCCCTCTTGCTCCCAGACATAGCAGCATGTGGAGAAAAAGAACGTCCCATGGAGGCACATTCATTTCCCTGGTTCACTGACAACTGAACTCTCTAATGCATGGAATTTGCACATGTCTTTCAAAACTTCTACCTATGAAGTAAATCAACCTTTTCTTTCATCATTCCAATTCAGCACCAAGTTGACTTGAGCTCGGACATTAAAACCATATTGACCCTCCAACAATGAAGTAAGTACTAACTTTTCTTTGGTTGTTCCAACTCAGCACAAGGCTGACTTAAACTCAACCATTATAATGATGCTTATCCTTATTTGCCTTAACTTCTTGACCAGAAAAAGAAAATGGAGACATTGATAACTTTGTTTCACTAAAGTTTATACAAAAAAAAGAGAATAAACAGTCCATAGCAGAAATCCAAGTTTTTGTCTGCTTCTTCTTTAATTGTTTATATGTAAACATACACACACCTACAATATACACAAGCATGCAACCTTTTAAATTTCATACGTCTTCTGATTTCTGTTACACATTCCAGCATTAAATTTCTGTCCTTGTTTCATTCTAATATTCCCGATATGTAATTCATACCTTGCTTGCTTTTTATGCTGAAATTTTTTTTTAATCATTTCACCCTAAGCAAGGCAATAAAGCCACTAGGGTGCAAGGAGTTACTGAGTGTTAGAGAAAATGAGAAAAATATACTATTAAAGAGAAAAGAAATAAATGAACACGGATTAAGAAGACAGAAGATAATGATTGTTATAGAATTTAAATTTTTGAAGATCAAAGTTGACAGTGAAGCAAGAAGAAAATTCCACAAGCAAGAAGTGCGACAGAAGAAACTGTTAGCATAGAACTTATGGTTACGTCTAGCCATTTTAACTGTAAAATGATGAAACCTTGCAGCCAATCTAGTACTGCACCTAAATTCATAGTCTGGGTACCATAGAGGAAAGTTAATCAGAACAATTACCATCAAAGTATTTATAGAAAAGGTACAGGGAAACTACTTTATGGCAGTGGGGAAAGTGACTGTAGCTGAGATGCCAGGTCATGACCAATAACATTGCAGATTCTTCTTTGGGTTTTATCAAGAATCTCTAAATATATAGCAGGAGCACTAGATCAGATATGGCAGCAATATTCAAATTAAGGACAAATGGTAGATTTATAAATATGTAAAATAGATTCTGACAAGAAAAATTGTCTAGATAGATACAGTGAACCAACTTTCCTAGCAGCAGATTTAGCAGTTGAGTAAAATGATGAGACCTTGCTGCCAATTTAGTACTGTACTTAAATTATGCATTCTGTCTTTTTACTGTGTTTACTAAGCTTACCAACTCTGTCCTTTTCTCTTGCTTCCATTGACTAATTTGTCTTATAGTTCTTTCACTTTTCACTGATAATAAATCCTAGTAATCTTCTTCTCTTAGAATTATCTCACTCTATAGATTAGATAAATCAGATGAAAAAGATCTTTGTCGTACTTCTCTTTCTATGAATGTTTATTCAGTCGATGTAGCCATGTCTAACACAAAGCTGTAGTAGTGGGACACTCAGTGAAGATCAAACTGTGATATGGTTTGTGAACTGTGCATACTAACCATTGCCCTATAGTCGACACCCATAAATGTTCCATAAATATAGATTAATTTTAGTTTAGTTTGACACAAGGCCAATAGAATGTGGCAGTCAGTGAGGATCAAACTCATTAGTCTATAGAAATGGTCTGCTTGATTAAATTAAAAGATGTTAAATACTATTACAAGATCAAAGTATTTGGGAGTACCCAATGAGGATTGAATTCCCTATACATGAAAATTGGGTAGAAGGACTAATTTGTTAAATATCATGCTGTGGTAGGAGCCAACTTATTAATCCTAACTTATTTTTTTAAAATGTTCATTTGGGACATATGCGAGCATGACTCTCCACAACTTCCTATTTCTAGACTGGTTACCAACTAAGGCTAGAGAGTTGAGTTTGCATAGTGAGACAGTTATTAAAACCCAAAACTGAGTAATTTAAATCATTTCCAATCTTTTCTGAATATTTAATTTTCCAGGTGTGCTTTCTGGAAATTGACTGGTGATCAAAATGTAATCCAAGGAAGGAATAATATTTCTCTATGAAAAAAAAAAAAAAAAAAAAAAAAAACAAAAACAGAAGATTTTAATGGATTTTAAGTTATATCACTTTTGAGGATAGTCTAAACTGTGAATTAGTTAAGTACAAATGTAAAGTGACTTAGCAGTTGAAAAGGGTCAAGTTTTTGGATGAACAGTTTAACTGACAGGTGTTACCAGAAATTATCCTGACTAAAAGTTTGGTGATTTGTTTTGAAAACCTTTTAATAGCAGGAACTTTTTGAGGAACACAGGTGGAAGGTTTAATTTAAAGATTACTGTCACACATGCTATCACTGCTTTAATTATTATTAATCATTTTTTTTATTTTAATTTTCTGCAAATAATTCACTAGGCAGTATTTGATTAGTGAAGAAATGTAA